AAAGCATGTGGAAAAATGTCTCTGTCATTTTTCAAAAACAGTATATTGAGGCACCGTTACTGGAGTGGAGGCATCCTGACCTAGGGAGGGATCTATCTGCAGGAGTATAGTTTGGCAAGTTTTTCTAAGTAGGTTTTAGGTTGGTATAAGGAAATTGTTGACCAACTATTTTCATGTCTTATGGGGGGAAAACTTCAATTAGGATAGAACAAGTTCAGAGAGGTTGAAAATGAACTTATGACTTTCCAAGAATTGCAGGCTACATGCATTGGAATGCCAGAGGAGGCAGTGGGCCCTCTGCCTACAGAGTTTAGTTGCATATAAGCCTGAAGTGTGGGGTCATGAATATATTAACAAGGTTATGAATATGTTAACTGAACTGTGCCCAAATAATTTTAAGTTCTCTTGTTTCTTACTTCTCAACATCTACCATGAGCAGTAATATCAGGTGACCTGGGAGCCTATTAGAAATGTAGAAGTTCAGGCCCTACATCAGAACTAATGAATCAGGATAGCATGTTTAATGAGATCCTCAGGAGGAGTGTGTCTTTCTCTTCTAGAGTACTCTGCTACCCACAATTAAATGCAGTGTTTAGAATTCTTAAAATGATTATGAAAAGCTTTTATCAGAGTGTAATTGACAAAGAGCTGTCTGGTGATCATGTTTTCCTTCTCACTTTTTCAAATGTCATTTAGTTAATTGCCTTACTGAACATTTCCARAAACATTCATTGAAAACTATAAGACTTAAAGTTCTGACAGAGAGGCAAATAAACCAATTTTCAAAACTGGCCTCCTCTCTTTTAGTAATTCTTGCATCAATATTATGACATGTACAAAATCAGTAAAGATGTGTGTAATAAAATAGGRGAGGATCTAAAATCCAATTACTGATTCAAGTGTGGCCTCAGCAGAAGCATCAGTGGGCTTGGGTTGGACTCTTCCTGCTAGCTAGATGGGTCAGTCATCTTTCCCTGGCCTTAGTTTCCTCATCTGTGAAATAAAGAGCAACTGATATGGCCTCTAGGATGTTCTAATGTCCTCTGAGCTGYAGTACTCCCAAGGAAAGCATGGGAAATTTAATTTCCTTTAATTAAATCACTGCATTTAATCCTTCTATTGTATGTATGAACCAACAATGAAAAAAGAAGCTGCTGGAAACCAATGTCTAAATACCAAACAACTGAATGGAAACACCTCTATGTAGAGCAGGAGCAGGAGCAGGGAAGGGGGTGGTGTGGGCTTTGGAGCCCAGCAGGGTGAGCTGCTTATATATTCACTGTAAACAGTTGGTAGCTGGGCCCAGCTGCTCATGGATCAGACTAGTGTAGGCTGCTCACCCACGTGCAATTATGTGTGAAGTTCAGCAAATCTAAAAATAGTGTGAGCTCAGTGCAGAGGTTAATACTGTCAATGGCTTTCAACTCAACTGTCAGGATGACAAGAAGGGGAGTAACTATGGCAACAGAAAAATGAACACATTAAAAAAMGTATTCTGAAGTTGACAGGAAAAGTTTAGATTTAGTAAAACTCATTTTTAATTCCTGTCTCTAATCTTTGGATTATTTCAATTATATAGAAATAATTTTATTAGAGTTTTGACAAAACAAATACTCTTTTTGAGTTTTGGGTTCCAGAAYCAAGAGGAAATACCACTAACCTGTCAACTGTATTGCCCCAACAGCCAGAAGGCCATTTGAACAAATGCCATCATGTAATTTTTCTGAGTGGCTTTTCTTTACATTTGTTCTGCTATCAGTTACAAAAACAGCCTTGAATAGTACTTGACATTTTAAGATATTTATTGCATGTCTGATACAAACAAAGGATAAGGAATTCTCTTGAGATGAACAACTTAAGAGAAAATTAATTAATATTAGCAAAGGATCCAGAGAAATATCTCTGAGACAGTTCTCACAGCCAACTTGGTAGCCTAGCACAGCAGTCCTCAAGACAAAGTGCAGATGCATCATTAAGTTCTGATTAAGCTACTGCTCACACACCTAATATTAGAGCAACATATCTCAATTCCAGCCTTTAAAAACAATCATTTGCTAAGGAAATGTTCAGTTGGGTATTGAGAACTRTAGTACTGGTCCAAGCTCTTCAACTAACTAGTTGTGAGGCCTTGGATGGGTCACTGCTCAGCTCTATGGCTGAAGGACTCTCAGGTTCTTCCTTGTGAAGAGTCAGTTGGGGGAAAGAGTTGATTCCTGTGGAATATCCCCTATGGGCCATGTCCTGTGCTATGGTCTAAAAATATATTTGGGCAATAAACTAGCAAGACAGATATTCTTTTCTCAATTTCATGTATGAGGACATACTTGTAAGCAGGCTGAGCTAACTGACAGAGCCTGGAGTAACCCTAGATCTGACTGATCCCACATGAGGTTGTCTCTCCTCAGACACCATTCTACCATTTTTACAACTGCCTCCTGCATGCTTCAAATACTGAGTGCTGGTTACATGCACTTAAGCTGTCCAAAGATTTTCATGAACGTCTTACATTTCTCCTAGGCACAGAAGATTAGGTTCCAAGGAATGTCCTGTAAGCTTCCTTTCATCTAGTCAACTGCTGTTAAGTTATTTTCATATCAAATATATTCTATTTGGCCACCTGCTTTTTTGACTTAATCTATCATGAACAGCTCCTTATGTTAATGATAAAAAAGTACTTTAATCTTTATAACGATTGAATTACTTTGTTATATTCAATCCCTACTGATGGACATCTCAGTTGTTGAAATTAGCTTACCTGAGTCAATCTTCTTGTTTCCATCAAAGTTTTCTTTAGAATCAAAGTTGCCCACAACACAGAAGCATCCTTTAATAAATCATTACTACATTTACAGATAAACTGAAATGCATATGTGGGTATCAAGATCAGGAATTCTTTCTGGCACCCCACAATGCCACTTTAAAAATGCAACCATGCTATTCATATGGGGGAAAAGATATTGTTAGCTATTTGAAGGGATTCAAACATCMGCACAAAAACAAACCTAGTTTTAAGGTTAATTGAAAATTTATAGCTGGTATGGCCTTTTCTTAATTAAAGTGTTTCCCCTCCCCAGGCAATGAGAACCTGCTCTTTTAGTGCTGAAAGACCAAAATCAGAGCAAAAGCTGCTTGAAAATTCTGAGCTTAAGTAAAGCTGCTTTAAAAGCTGCTGTGTACACCAAACAACAGGATTTTCTCGAGTTTCAGTAAATCTTTCTCCCAATCATTTCTTTGTTTTTCTACTTCAGAAAACCAAAATTAAGTAAAGCAAAGTTCACTCAAACAGCCAAAAAAGCAGAAAACACACACACTTTAATATTAAAATTACATTTAGCCCAAATGATGATATAAAATATATTATTTATATGTAAACTATCTCTTTAAAATTACCTCTTTTTTAGGCATTTTAAAATGTGGTCCTACTAAAGAATATGAGACTTATATAAATGTAGCTCTGTATGAATTTTTAGAATGATCATTAAGCATTATATAAACAATTCAGAAGGGAGTGGAGTCACATGTGACAGAGGAATCACTTCTTGCTGAGATTAGAGATTCTTCTCTGTTAATCGTCCACTAGGTTTTTCCTGTTTTCACCTCTTGGGCCCTCTATCCTTGAAGGAGTGGTTGATAGAGCTCAAATAAGGCTGAAGGTAGAATAGGGTCCAGCCAGCCACTTAGAGCAGTGCCTTTTCAAACCTGTAAGAGTATGTTTATTACTTGCTTAACACAAATATGGTTTAAAAGGTYACACCGAAATGATAACTATTTTTTGTCACTTGCAATGAACTCATGACCTAATGGGCATAGAGATTACTTCATGGAGTCTGAGGACAGAGGGTTCATCCCTAGCAAAGATAGGTCAATTTCAGCATCCCACCACTATTAAAGGTCTTGCTGGATTCTCTTTAGTTTCTCCTCAGAGGAGGGATGCATCTTGATTTCTTATAGTACCTGGAACTGCCATGAAATGAAATGCACAATGGCCTGCTCATAAGAGTACATRTCTTATCTTTCTAATTTGTTGCCAAACTATAGATGCATTACACTAGAGAATGCATTACACTGGGAGAAGAAAAACGGATGCCCACAGTGTACTGAGAAATCATAATAATGGGCATGACAAAAGTTTTTGCAAGCAGCAAGGAATTTTCAAAGCAGTATAAACACAATTCAGCAGAGACCATTTCTAATACAAAACACAGAACATTTAGAGAGCTAAAGTAGTGCCTGAAGACTTTCTAATGTGACATATGTATGACTAACCCATAAACTGAACTTAAAACTTGGACATTTCTTGGAGTATAAGCGGAGAGAAGGAAGAAAAGGTCTTATTGTTCTTATGGCAGGTGGTAAAAAAACCTGTATTTAAAAAACCAAACAAACAGCTGAGTCTTCAGAGGTGCACACCTATAATCCTAGCCTACCCTGGAGGCTGAGGCAGGAGGATGGCAAATTCAAGGCCWGCCTGGATAACTTAGTGATACCTGTTTCAAGATAAAAATAATAATGTCTGGGAATGTAGCTCAATGCTATAATTGGCATGCCCGAAGCCCGAGTTCAATTCTCAGTACCACAAAAATAACAAACAAAAAAAAGAGGCATCATCAAAACGATGTTATTGATTATAGCAGACAGACTACCACAGCAATACAGCTGATTGATTTTGAAACCTCAATATTTGACTTTGGTTTGAGATAGACAAAGTCAAGAGTTGAAATCTAAAGATGTGAAAAAAAAGAGTTGAAATCTACAGTCATATTGCTTGATATTGATTTTGATTTCATTTCAAAATCTTCATTTCACTTTAATCTTGTGACATTTCTTTACTTTTGGTGCTTCTGTATAATGTAGATAGTAGCAGTACTACTATGGGCTGTTATAAGGATTAAACGAAAAAATTCAATGTCAAGAACTTAATATAGTACCTAATACATAGTAATGCAAGTAGCTACTATTGTTACAACTGTCATTGTTCCCTTGGCCAACAGTTCACTCACCAAGATGAGTGTCCATCACCTTTGCACAGTATTTGCACATGGCATCCAGGTCATTCAACTGCCCTTGAAGGAAGGAAATCTGGGCTTCTAATTCTTCTTCCTAAAATGAAAGGAGTAGAGATATGGAAATTTAAAGACATTCAAATAAAATCTCCAAGGTTTTCTAAATGATCTGGACCATTTTAAAGAGACCCAATCTCCTTTCAAACACAGAACAAAATAAAAGAGCAAATGAAAACTCACCACTGCCATCATCAAATCAGAAACTGCAAAATGGAGATTTTAAAAAATCTAGGCCATCAATATGTATAACAATAATGCATCCATGAAATAATGAAAAATAAAAAAATCTAGGCTATCCCTAATTGATTCTAGTTTTGTGCCAAGTGCAAATGTTTACACATACATCTTTGTGTAAAAAAAGTACACAAAATATCTTCAATAAATATTTAGCAACACACATTAAGAGGGTAACTTAGATTTTCATTGAACCACAGTTCCTATACAGATGGTACAGAAACAGTCCATTTTTTTCCTCACATACATTTGGGAAACCAAGATTTCCATTTTATAAGATGAATCTCATAATTTTCTAGACAATGATAATCTTAAAAATTTGAAATTTCCCAAAGCACTTGAAAAGTTGCCCCAACAACCCATAAATAGCTGTTCTTGTTTCCTCTCTTGACACCACACAAGAGCATTTTATTTGTTGGTTTCTAGGAAGAAGTATTCTGGGGCAAGTAATTATCTAAGTGGTAAAGGACAGTTTAACTGTAACAAAAGAATAGTCTTTTTTTTTTTAAGAAAAAATAACACATGCAAAAAATTTCCCAAGGAAATTTAAAGATTATGGGAGTTTTTCCTCAGAAACAGAGTATAATCCTCATCATTTGGGATATTCTAAGCCAAGTTATCTAGAATACAAAGAAAGGATGTTGCCAGGGCTGGAACAGGCTAGAAAATTGATTTTCCAGTCTTGGATGCTTGTCCTTTCACATAAAAATCCTTTGTGTTGTTAATAAGAACGGAAGAAAATATCCATGGCAGTATATATTTTTTTAAACTAATCTGATTTGTACATGGAAATTAATAGTTGAAAAGGTTACTTGTAGGTGTATTCCATTTTAACAATATACATATGCAGCACTGAAAAGTACTGTTTTTAACTGCTGCCTGAAGAATCAGCCCTCAGGAGTATGCACTGAAATGCCTGACACAAAAAACAGACCTAACAGTAGCTTCAAAAAAAAAAAAAAAAAAAAAAACCAAAAAAAAAAAAAAAAAAAAAAAAAACAAAAACAAAAAAAAACAAAAAAAAAAAAAAACCCAAAAAAAACCTTGTGTGAACTGTCCACTGTAGGATTATGCAAGAAAGCACTAACCATGTTTTTTTATATATTCTACAAAGTGCAGCAGTCTCTCCTCCTGTCCTTAAATAAGGACAAATGCCACCAGAAGCAGATCAGCCAAAGGGGACTGTGGATGGGGTGGGTAGTACCACCCTCCTAACTCTTCAGCTGGGTCATACAGAGAAAATGTTTTTGTATAGGCTTGAATTTCCCTGTTCTATCAGGAACTATGAGAATTAGAAAAAGAAGGTTATGTCTACTGGTTAACTATGGTTGTACCTAATGGCAGAAGGTAACCATCAATTCCTTCCCTGAGTGTGGAGGCTCCATCATTGGGAGGTGGTATGAAGCTCCCTTCACACCCTTTCCCCCTTGAATGTGGGATTGGTCTTGTGACTTTGCTTGATCAAGAGACTGCAGAAGAAGTCAAACTGTGCCAATTCTGGGCAAGTTTAAGAGGACTGATAACTTCTGCTTTTCCTAGAGAAGATAGCTACCATGCTGTAAAGAAGTTCAGAAGAGAATACAAAAGAGAAAAGAGATTACTTGGAGAGAAAGGGGCTACAAGAGAAGCACTAAGGCTCTAGACTGTGAATGAAGTTTTTTTGGGCCTTTTAGCTCAACCCAGCCAAAGCCAGGCAGGTGAGTGCCCCAGTCAATATCACATGGAACAGATGATTGGCCTACCAGAACCTGGTCCAAATTCCTGACCAACAGGTCTATGAGAAGCAAGGGTAGTGTTGTTTTTAGGTACTACATTTTGGAACAGCTTATTATGCAGAAATAGATAATCGAAACAGTGGTAGAATAGAAAGACACTAAATTGGGACATGGCATGAAGAAATTTAAGTTCTATTCCTGATCCTGCCATCAACGAGACATGTGATCTTCAGTAACCCTCTCCTTGCTGTGGCCAAAATTCAGTGCTCTGGAAGATGTGCAAATCAGAGGGGATTTGCTCCCAAGGATCTTACCAACTGGTAGTTGGAAAAATAAAGTTATATAAACTACTGGAGGGTGAGAGAGAGTGTATGAAGGTCTTACACTGAAATAAGAAATATCACTTTGGGAATCCTGATCCCAGTCTCTTGTCCTTTCTGCAGAATAAGTCACCTTTGTTTGTTACAGATACAAACTCAACTGGATGAGTCTAGAACTGTATGAAGGATAGGGTTTGGCAATCTTTTAAAAGAGGGCCCAGATGCAGCCTGAGTTTCTCCTTTTATCTGGTGAGTAGCAACTGGGTGCTGACAGCCCAGAGTGGAGAAGGGTCACTAAGAATGCAATGCTTCCTGACTGAACTCTGTTTAGTCTAGGCATTAGTTTAATTTGGTTTCACAAGTATTTCTTTCAAGATAGAAAGCCCTTGGGAGCTGGAATTCCCAGGAGTCATTCCTACCTGAAGGGATCGATTCTGTTTTGTTGGCTTTCTTCTCCATAGTGGGGAGGAAAGAATTTCAGAGGACACATTTTAGAGGAGATGGGCCAAGCCTGCTGTGAGAGGCACTGGCTAGCTAGAGGAAGTCTGTAGCTCCAGGGGCCTCTTCCTAAAAATACTTTGTTGCTTGAGCAGGAGCACYATTGTAATAAAGACTTTGACAAGAACAGGGCCCTCTAAATTGGGCAATGCAGGATTTACACATGTGTGTAGAAGTCCTGAGAYAGCCCATGGTACTTGGAAGACGTGGGGATATAGAAACATAAATTTCCAAGTCTCCATTTTTGCTTAGCTCTCTGGTGGCAGCAAATGAAGAGCAGCTTGCACTCCTAAAAATCCAAATGACTCAAACATAGACAAAATATTTGGCTTGATATGAATATGGTAGAAAAAGGGGTCTTTTATTCATTTACATCTTCTTTTTCAAAGGAAAGTTTATGCAAAAAGCCTSATATTATAGCTGAGAGAAGACAGCTACTCTGGTTGAAGCAGGTGGAGGAGCCAGGAACCTCTTCTGGAAGTTTGGAATCCAGTGTTATCCCTCTAGGCGTTGCTTAATCTTAGAACATTACTCAGTCCTTCCACTATCACTCAAACTTTATTAATAGAAATGGAACCACTTTGTAGGCAAAAGAGTGGCTTGTCATTTATTCTTGGCTATATTATATGATTACAGATAAAAGAAAGAGCCAAGAATCAAGCTTCTAAAATCTTGGGAAACAGGTTTACCTTTCTATCTTAACTTCTTAGGCTCCACACTCCTTCCAACTAATACTTAACGGTGGACACTTTAGTAATTTGTTTCTGTTAAGCTGATCCTCTGTCATCAAAAATAAATGTCTGGCTAACTGCCTTGAGGTTTTATGAAATCAACTAGTTAATGTTGTACTAGTTTTACTTGCTTATGAGTAAATAAGAGACTTGAGAGATGTTTATTATATTCCTTCTGCACCCATGTTCTGCTTCTATCTCAGGCAGGGGAGTGGTAGGGCATGAGGGAATTCTGAGTAGACATACTTGGCTCCAATCTTAATTTTTGCCAATTATTAGCTGCACAATTTTGGCTAAATTCCTTAGTTTCTTGGTCCCTTCACTCCTATCTGGCAGGATTGGAAGGAAAGTGAAAGGAGAATATAGTGTCTAGCACAGAGGAAGCACTCTATAAAATAATTCTGTAAATTTTTTTAAAGTTAGGTTAAAACAGTGAAATGGACTAAGTACAAAGTTTTATGATTCACTGTTGGAAAACATTGGTTTCTGGTTTGAAGCCTTTTACATTGTTTAGTCCAGAAGATCAATAAGGGCTTAAGAGCAAGTACTGTCTGGGTTCTGAATAATAGCAAATTAACATGTGAGGCAAGAAACCGACAGACTTAGGAAGTCAGGCCACAAGCAGACTGTGCTGTGCAACATCACCAACTTGGAAGCCCTGTATGAAAGGATCAGAGCATGAGGGCTCCTGTACCATGGAGAGAACAGCTGGCCCCCAGCCCTGCTGTAGTGATTTTAATGGCCAGGCACTGGGTTTGCATGTTCTAATACATTCAATCCTCACAACAAACCTATGAGGTAGGTTTTTTATCTCTTCCATGAAACATGGCCTGCTTCTCCGTCATATTCTCTGGAAGTGTATGGTAAGGTTTAGACAGCTATTTGAGAACCAAGTCACATGGCCCACTACTCCTACCACTTCCCAGTATACACACTCTTTCTTATCTCAGCATGGGCCTCCCAATGAATGACTACATATCTCAGTTTTCTTTAACAGAGATTCACGAATTGTAATGGAGAGTACTAACCTCAAATTTCGTACTAAATTGTTTTCCTTCAAAATCATTCAGTATAATTGGCTCTACGGTTTTGTTGTTTATAGAATGATTTTAATTTTGACTAAATAATTGGAAGAAATGGCTTTTCAAATTTGCTTTTAAAAAGTAGTGTTTCTACCATTTCCTCCCAAACAGATGATGTGCCATATACTTCTTAAATTATTATACAACTCAGTTGTTTATTATATAGATTGTATATGTTGATTTTATTAAATGCTTTAACATCTTTCTGCTATTTTTTGGTTAAAATAGAGTAAGTTTTTGTATTTTATTMCTTGTTCACTTATTCATCAATTTATTCAACAAATGTATTCATTTGCATTGTGTTAGGCCTTGTGGAAAATACAATAATGAATGAGACATGGTACTCTGACTTCTACAAGTTTAGAGGAAGGTATGGTCTGTAAATAAAGCCAAGAAGGGAGGAAAGAGAGTTGAATGACTCAGACATTACTGTCCTACAGGCATATGTGATTACATG